AGGATTGCACTGACAAAGAACTTCATTCATTGAAACTGAAGGAAAAGTAATCAGTACAGTTTGTGACATTATAAGGTGATAGATTCTTCTAAAGCAAATGGTAAATTCATAAACATGGTGCAAATTCTTAAATTTACTACACAAGACAAGTATGCATGTAATATATTTTCAGCCACTCAACATATAGTTGGTATCATAAGCAAGAATTAGATAAGTGCTAAAAGATTAAGTAGAAGATTAAAAATTAGCTGAACTTGTCAAATGAAAGAAACTATAGGACTAATACCATTACAAATCTAGTTTACCTGAATTGTGGCAAAAGAAAGTTTACTTCATTCTTTTCTCAGTCAGTGAGTGTGAAAAAACTCTGCATCTCGGTAATTACCTGTCAAAAGAGAAAAGAGCATGTAAGGATAGCAATGAAAATGTAACTTTGCTTTCAACCTCCTTCTCTCCATCTGTTGTCAAGTAAAGAAATTGTGGACAATTATTTGATTTCAGTTGAGGCAGATTTGACTGACTCAAATTAACCAACCTCATTTTAAAGTCAAATTACTATAAATCAAGGCCTAAATTTGCTACATTCATATGAGTCATTAATGTGGATATATATTTATTATTTATAAAAGTGAATTATTCCATATTGATTTATCAGAAAAATTAGAGATTATAATACCAAATACATTTATATTGATTTAGTTATTAAAGGGTTGCAAAAACTATTTTTGGCCAAGATTTAGAAATAGGAACTACAGGGCTGGGTATGGAGTTCAGTGGCACTGTGCCTGCCTGGTAAGCACAAAGTCCTGAGTTCTATTCCCAGTACCAAAACAATAACAACAACAACAAAAAAGAAATAGGAACTACATTTAATATCATGTCTTTGTCAAATTAAAACATGCAGAAAAGGGGCTGGGGATTTAGCTCAGTGGTTTCGCTGCCTACTGTGGAAGTGCAAGGACCTGAGTTTGATCCCTGGTACCAAAAAAAAAGCAAAAACCAAAACAAAACAAAAGAAACATGCAGAAAATGTAATAGAATTGTTTTTAAGATTTTAGATATCAGGCAGCCAAGGAAAATGATGCCCAAGAAACCAGAAACAAAAGACAGAACCTGTACAATGACACTAATTTGTGCAGGCCATGGCTAAACTGGGAGAATCTCAAGAAAAGTCCCCAAGGGTTCTTCAATTGAAATGGACATGAAAGACTGGGGAGAAAAATTAAGCTAGATTCTATAGGGCAGAGTCCTGGAAAGGGAAGATGTGTACAGAAGGAGAACTGGAGATCACAAAAAGTCTTCATTATATATTAAGTGAAATTCACATACCCAACAGTGAGAAAAAACTACCAGAAGTGATGCAACTATGATTTTGTAACGTTTTTATACTATGGTTGAAGATGCTGCTTGAATATTAAGTTTGATAAAGTAACAATATGAGCTATAAGTCCTGAAAGAATCACTAAAATAGCATAGTAAAGATGTAAAGAGAACAGATCAACAAAAAAATGAAAACATAATATCATATTTCCACTTTTTACCAACATAAAAGAAGACATGGCTATTACATTTTTATTTGAATTAATTTAAAAAATGACAAAGATATGAAGCAATTATTTTTCAAGACAGTCAACATCAAGAAAGGAAGAGTAGGGTTCTCTGTGAGAAAGGAATTAAATATTCAAAGTTGTACCACTTCATACAAGAAGCAAGGTAGAGCCTGGTTATTATGGCTTAGACCTAAAATGTCCACAAAATGAGAGCTGTGTATGGAATATGACTGGATCATGGAGACAACACACCTATCAATAGATTCATCCACTACTGAGTTCATGAGCTGGATAAGGTGGGCCTGGTGGGAGATGGGTCAGTAGGGTGTGACCTTCTTTTCTCTCTCTGCTTCCTGGATGCCATGAGTGGAGCATCTTTTCCTTCTTCTTGGCCACTTCTATCTTGTTGCTGCCTTAGAGCAAACTAAACTTATAATGAAACTGTCAGCCAAAATAAACCTCTCCTCCTTTAAGTTGCTGGTTCCATGTATTGTGATATTGTGACCCAGTGACAGGAAAGTGGCAAAGACAGATTTTAATAGCAGGAGTGGGGTAAATTCTGAGTGTATCTGAACATGTGATTTAGCACCCATTAGACAGGGTGCACAAGAGGAATTTGGAAAAGTGTGGAGACACAGATTAGAGAAGTTCTACAATGCTACAAACAGAACTTGATGGGCTATACTGCTAAGAGATCAAAAATAGAATGCTGTTATAAATATAGACAGTAAAGCCCAGGCTCAGCTGGTTTCATTTGGAAACAAAAACTCCACTGGCAATTGGACTGTATACTATGTGTGTTATGTCTTGCAAAAATGTTGTCTTCATTTTGACCATTTCCTGAGACTTTGTGAGAAAATGAGATTAAAGAAATAATTATTCTGAAAAAAAAGAAATAATTATTCTGGAATAGAAATTTTTTAAAGCAGCCCAGTATTCAGGCTATCACATGGATAATGTTGGCTGCTTTTATCAAGATCTAGAGGGGAAAAAAGCAAAAAGTAAATGTGAAAATTTTGCAGTTTCATCAGAAAGAAAGTGCTTGCAAAGTTGGTGATGTGGAGAGCATGGTTGCTGAAAAGATTAGCATTGTAAAGAAGCCAAGAACTTTATATTAGGATAATAGGAAAGCCAGCTTGAGGGCATCTCAGGAATTAGCAAGACTCAACCATTCACAAGGTTTACGGTACAAAATGGTAAAGCTCTCATTTGAGAAGAAAGCCCCAATCCTCAATAAGGATTATCTACATCAGTGATGGCAAACCTTTTAGAGACCAAGTGCCAAACTGCAATCTAAAATTCACTTATTTATCATGAAGTTCCAACACTACAATTAAAGCTGAAAACTGAGGTTTTAGTTTAGGCAAAAAATTTATACATTAACACTTCCCATCTTAAAATAAAGCACAATAACATGCTTGTCATAGGTTTGACACCTCTTCAGAGGCCCAGAAATATGGTCATGAGAGGCTAGAGCCTTAAGCCAAAAGAGTGGAGCCTAAAGTGAGGTGGAGTCTTGAGGAATTTAGAAATGCCAGAGATGTGATACATTCGCTGAGGAAAGAAGTGGTCAACGAGAGGAGTCACTCCAACACAAAGGCCATGAGGGCTCCACCACGCAACATCACAGGTGTGGGGCTACCCATGCCCTTTGGAGCTCACATCTCAACGCAAGCTGCCCTTGGTGCTAGACATGGAACTACAAAGACTTCTTATTTGTCCTCCCCTAGTGAGTTTTAGTCTTGCTGTGGTACAATTCTCTTCTATCGTATTTCTCCCTTTTGGAAGTGAAATGTTAACTCTGTGCCATTTTATCTTAGAAATGTTTATCTTCCGTTTTGATTTTTACAAAGGCTTACAACTAAGAGAGTTTACTGCTTCTAAGAACAGACATTAGACTCAGACTTTTCAGGATTGGTGAAATGTTAAGACTTTGGTGACTCACAGAGATGACTAAATGAATTTTGCACAAATAGATTATCATGAGTCTGTTAGTAACTAAGAGTAGAATGTTATGGTTTAGATCTAGAATGTCTACCAAAAAGCTCATGTGTTCGAACTTGGGGCTTTTGGAAGGTGATTGGTGGATATGGGCACTATACTCCTTGGTGGGTGAGTTCATAACTAAGTGTGGTGCTAGGACTTGGCCCTTGGTCAGAAGAGGTGGGTTACTAGGAGCATTGCCTCCTCAGCTCCTCCCTTGTTTTTCTGTTTCCTGGCTATCATGAGTTGGATACCTTTGTACTCTGCCATGCCCCTCTGCTATCCTGTCTTTGCACTGGATCCAGTCAACTGTGGACTGAAAATGTGAGCCAAAGTAAATCTCTCCTCATTTATCTTGTGGGAGTCCAGTATTATATCCCAGTGACAGAAAAGTAACTAAGACGCTGGTGGTCTGACTGACCAGAAGAAAAGTGGTAAAATCTGGGAAAGCCAAGGCCTGGAGAATTCAGTGTATAGAGAACGTGGGAAGACAGAACTTCAGGGGCACATAGAACTCTACATATCCCCCAGTACATATCCAGCTGCTGATCAGATAAAACATCTGAAGCATGTTTTTCACAGTGCTGAAGGAAAAGAAGTTTAAGGCATCAACAGATTCTGATTTATGACATGGATTCTTTTCTTTTCTGTGGAGTAGTTGTTTTGTTTGATGTAATTTCACTTGTCTATTTTGAATTTTGTTTTCTATGCTCTTGGGTTCATATCTAAAATATCATTGGAGATAAAAATTGAGCTATTTTATAGCATATACATGTAAGAAGACCATATAGAAGCTCTATACTCCTCAGCCCCTTATACCTTGCCTTATAAATATCTTGTGTTTGAATATTCTGGAGTCATATTTATTATACTGAATTAGTAATATAAGCAAAGTATCACTTTGAATGTTTCAAATTGTGCTAAAAAATTATCAAACTGGAGGAGGTCAGAGGCATTGCCTAATTGTCGCCAACCCAAACAAAATGGTGGGTAACTTTGGAGTTTACTGTATCCAACTGGAATCTGAAAAAGGCAGCTATGTAGTGACAATGAGCTCTGAACCTACTAGGGCTGTGCTAGCTTTGGATAGTTAGACATTCAACTGGTGTCTACAGAGAACTGGCGAATTGCTTAGTGCTGAAAACCTGCACATTTGGTATCCCAAGTGTTACAAGTAGAAAAATGATTTTCATTTTTGTGGTTTTGATGATGACTATTTCATTAAGTTTTCAATATCTTTTTATTCCATTTTTATTTGGAAAAGTCATTTTTACAGGTTATGGAGTTCTAGGTTGACAGGTTTTTGAATTTTTTTCAGTAATTTAGAGATGCTGTTTGGGTGCCTTCTCACTTGCATCAGTTTTAATGAGAAATCTTTAATCCTTAACTTCTTTTTCTGAGAAAAAGTTTAATTATTTAAGAATAGTTTCACTTCAAAATTGCTTTTTATGATTTACTGTGTGTTGCAGGACAGTGCTGATTTTGGTGATAATTATTCCCAAGGACTGAATACTCTACCCACTATTCTATGAATTATGAGGTTTTTTTTCTACCTGACTGATGGAAGCAGGTAATATTTGCAGCTGTGCTCAGTGTGTATATTATTTCTTCTAGTCCTCTACGGGTTCTCTTCTCCACCTTAATTAGTTTTCTCACATCCCTGTGCTAATCAGTATTTAGCTGGATATTCAATGGGAGATCTCTAGAGTTCTACATGCCCCAGTGAAGCCCTACTTAAATCCCTTTAGTACTTGCAACTGTTTAATTGAAGAGTGTTTAGGATTTTTTACACACATGATCATGTGATCTGCAAACAGAGATAATTTTACTCTTTCTCCAATTTTAATTTATTTTTCTTTTTTAATTTGTCTGGCTAGTACTTCAGTATTATGTCCTTTGGAAGTGACAATATAAAGAATTCCTATTTCTATCAAATTTTAGGAAAAAATTTTAAATTTTTCCATTGTTTATGATGTCAAATAAAAATATTATCGCATGTCCTCATTCATCCTGTTCACTAGATCTGGCACCATGCAGCTTCCAACTCTTCTCCAAAGTCACAATGACCAAGAAAAGTAAAAGTTTTTAATCAATTCCTGCCATAGAGGCAACCATAACAACACAACTAAAGACATTCATAAGAGAGGATTTCCAGAATTGCTACCAGACTGGTAAGAATTGTGAAATAAGTTTGGAGCAAAAGCAATTAATTTGAGGCAATGTATTTTCTACTGCAATACATTTTTTTCTTTTAAAGATTCATTGTTTGTTTGATCACGTTCTCTAGTCTATCATTTATATGAGGGACTTGAGCATCAATATAGGTAAAATTCCTTGTGGGTACTGAGACATGATTGTATTTTGGTGGAGATTTTTGTATGTATATTCATTAGGGGTATGGATAGTATTCTCTCTCTCTCTCTCTCTCTCTCTCTCTCTCTCTCTCCTCTTTTGGTCTGGATTTGAGATCATGGTAATGTTGGACTTATAAAATGAACTTGGAATTCATTTTTTTCTAGAAAATCTAAGAAGAGCTTGTATTAATTTTTCTTGGAATATTTGATACAAGACACCTGCAAAGACATATAATCATGGAACTTTTTGTTGGGATGTTTTTTGATTGCTGATTCAATCTTTATTATTGATGTGTTCAAATTTGCCATTTGTTCTTCATTTACTTTTGATTAGTTGTATGTTTCTAGGAAACTATGTATGTTTTAAAGGTTAAACATATTGTTGACATTTAATTATTGCTAACAGTCCTTACACCTTTTTACTTAAGATCTTCCATTGTAATGTTTCTTATCTCATTTATTTCAGTCTTCTCCCTTTTTGCATAGTCCAATTAAGATTTGTCAATTTTCAGTTTTCAACAAACCAACTATTTTTTCTATGAGCTCTTATCTTTATTTGTATATGACACAGTATGCTCTGACCTTTATGCTTACTTATGCAAATTTTAGGTTTACTTTTTTCATTTTCTACTCCTCCTAGTGTCCAGTTAGATAATATATATGAAATATTCCTTCTTTCTTAATGACAGGATTTATTGCTATTGAACTTGTCTCTTAACCTAGCCTTAGTGCAATATTTAAATATGTTTTATTACATTGTATTTTCATTGTCATTTATCTCAAGATTTTTATAAATGCCTTTCTGATTTTTTCTTTATACAAATGTTTGTGCTAGAATGTGCTTTTCAGTGTTATTGTCAGTTTCCTCACTGCTCGAATTGAATACTTCACACTGGCACTGTAAAGGAGAAAAAGTTTATTTTGACTCGTAGATTCAGAAGTTTCAATCTTATATCTTCCTGTTGGGCATCTAGAGCATCGTAATAAAGGTGAGAATGCCAGAGCACAGGGCAGCCTCACCTCTATGGCTTTGTTACTTGCACTTCAGATGGCTTCCTTCTTGGGCTGGTTCCTCTGTGTTTGCTCTTGTAGCCTTTGCTTTGTAGAAATTCTGTCAAATTTCTAGCATGTCCAACTTTATGATATGTCCATTGCAACTTATGTTTCATGGTCACAGCTTCATGCATTGCATTCTCAGCGCCTTCTGGCAGTGACTTATACTTCGTTATACATTGTTCCCTGGCTGCTCAGGCCCTCTTATCAAACCTATATGGTTGCTTCTATGACTTCAAAATTCTTGGATTCTGCATGCCCGAAAAACCACCTTTACATGGTCTATGCCAATGTCTCCCAGTCAAAGAAAGTGTAACCAGGCCTCCTTAGAGAACCCTGATTGCCATTGGCCTCTGACTGGATGGATGAACAGAGGGAAGCATTTTACTCAGTGGTTCTGAGTGGAGTACTTCGGGATTCTTTGCTCAAAGTAAAGTTTTTCAATAAGTAGTTACACTTTTATGCCCTTGAGCCTGCCATGTATGGCATCTTCTGATTCCTGAAAGGTCCTTAAGGCATCTTTCATTTTATCCTGGTCAAGTCAAAATGCATGGCTTCTTTCTAATGACACTGTTATCTTCAGTAACCACACTTTCTTTGGCCCCGACTTTTCATGTGCTTCTTTTTTGTCAAAACTTCAAGTTTTTCAAATCTTTCTGCTTTTCTGCATGCTCCCAATTCTCACCACTACAAATCTGGCTGAAAGCAAAAAGTTGTACCTATGCCAAATCTTGAACATTGGAACGTTTTGACATTGCTCCCATCAAATCAATTAGTCCATGACTCAAACTCTGCCTCACACAAAGGTTTCAGGTATAGAAAAACTGTATCTTTCACAATGTAATGTAGATGTAAGGGTCTTATGTCCAATTCCCAGTAAAATTATCATTTCCATCGGAGCCCTCATGTGCTTGGTCTTCATTTCTGCTTTCCTCTGAGCACTTTGGCCTCCTGAGATTTTACCAGAATTATCCTGGATTTCTCCACTATGCATCTTCAAATATTTTCAAAACTTTTTCCAAAAATTATTTCTAAAGGGTTCTAATCTATATAGTCAGGTATAGGCACAATGACAAACCCACTTCTCAGTACCAGTTTTCTGTGTTTGTCAATTGTCTCATTGCTGGAACAAAATCTCTGACACACACTACTAAAAGGAGAAGTTTAGTTTGACTCATGTTTACAGAGGTTTCAGTCCATGATCAGTTGGTCCCAAGGCAGAATATTTATGGAGAAAGGGAGTGGTAGAGGAAAGCTGCTCAGCTCATTGCATATGAGAAGTGAAATACAGGGAAAGAGCTTGAGAAGGGGAACGGTCCAGGCACCAGATGTAGTAAGCAGGGTCAGGCCTCCAGAACCCAGCCAGATACACCTAGAAGTGTGGATTAATAATCACCAAGGCATAGTTCAAGCTAAACAAGTTCAGAGTAAAGTTTTACTCTCACATTTATTCTATGCATAGATATTTGTGAGTTTTCTCAGTCTTTTATCATGCTTGATTTCTAATTTCATACTATTATAGTTAGTATCAAAACCTGGTATGTTTTTAATCATCTTAAACATGTTAAAACTTGTTATTATCTATCTTGGAGGATATCCAGACTTCACTGAAGAGGAAAATATAGTCTTCTGATTTTGTACATTATCATTAGCTACATTTCAATTTCATTGTTGTTCAAGTTTACTGTTTGATTATTGATGTCCTCTGTTAGTGCTCTATTCATTATTGAAAGAGTGATATTAAAATTGCCTACTATTATTTATTGCTGTCAATTATTCTTTTGGAAATATCAATTTGCCTTATACATTTAGGTAGACTCATGTCAATACATATATGTTTGCAATTGTTATATTTTCTTGATCACTTATCCTTCTATTATTTCCTTCTGTTTTGTTTTGCTTTGGTACTGGGGATCAAACTCACCCTTGTGTTTTTGAGGCAGGCACAGTGCCACTGAGCTAAATCCCCAGCCCCCAATCCTTCAATTATTAAATGGTGACTTTCATTAAAGTTTTTGACTTAGAATATATTTTATCTATATAAGAATAAACACTGCTGCTTTTTTAGGTTACCATTTGCACGGGATATCTTTTTCCATTCTTGAGCTTTCAGTTTAGGTGTATCTTTGATGCTACTGTAAATTTCCTATAGACAGCATACTGCTGAATTTTAGTTTTTGTTATACCCATTAACGAGTGCAGTTTGTTTTTTTTTTTTTTTTTTTTATCGGGGATTGAACTCGGGTCCTTGCGCTTGCACAGCAGGCAGCGAAACCACTGAGCTAAATCCCTGGCCAACCTGTGCAGTTTTGATTGGAATCTTTATTCCATTATCAATCACAAAAATCATTTATGCTTAATGAAATGCTTTGTCCATACATGTTCAAACTAAGGACTATGTACAAATATATTTTTACATTTCCAAGTTTCATTTATTTATTATTTTCAAATTTGACAGTTGTTTCATATGAGTTCGACCATACCTTTGGTCTTATTTTTCATTTAAATATTTTATTACTACAGATATTTTGTTTTTCAAAAACATTTTTCTGCTATCTTCAGTATTAAAGTGTGATTTATCTGTTCAATACACTTACTCATTCTCACTCTTAGTTAATTAATTCTTCATAAATTTTAAGGTTTTGATTCTGTGCTTGTCTTCAGTGAGGCTGTTTCTTAGGTCTCTATTTAGCCAATGCCACCTGAATGGCAGTGTTATTTCTCAATAGGATTTTGTGTTTTCTTCTTCCAGACTATCCAGTGTTTTTATGTTAATTGCTCAAGTTATATACCCTACAGCATATGCAATTTCAAAATATAAATGGGTGCAAAGCACATATTCAAGGTTATAATATCTCAAGGGATATATTTATTCTTTCCCTAAAGTCCAAACAAGACTGAGCTTGCTTTTCACATTGCCATGCTACTAGCAGAAATTATTTATTCTTTTTAGAGTCCTTGAAGAAAGTTAAAGTATCCGCTTCAAGTCTCATAGTCCCAGGGCCTTACCTCTTACCTTTCATAATCATAAATACCCAAGGCTCTCACCATTACCAAATCCAATGAATGCACCTCTAGCACTGCTCCAGAATTAGTTTTCATGTTTATGACATTTTATTTCTTACCGGTGGACTTCTCTTAGTTTCTGTGAGCTCTGTTTGGTCGAAACTTTCCTCTAATATACCTGGTACATCTGACTATTTAAGCAGAAAAAGTAATAGCATAGCTATTATTCCTGATTGCTTTTTTAGAACTCGAAGTGAGTGTTTAAATCTCTCAACACTTAGTTTCTGTACAGACACCAGCACCTGAATTCTGGTGTGGTCCACCTGTGAAGGCACGTCTTTCCTTCTATCTGTGTCTTGAAAGAATGGGGACACTAGCTACATACCTCTCCTAACATGGTATTCAGACCTCATGTTTCTGTTTTGCATATTTTGGACTCTTTTTTATTAACACATGTTTGCTATACATAATGTTTACATTCCTTGTGTGTAGTTGGTACATAACATGTCTTCATTCCTGTTTGCATTTCCTTGCCCTCCCTTCCCTCTCCCCTCCCTTCATTTCTTGATCCACTTACCATTGAGAAAGATCTACCTCCCCACTTCTTATTATTGCTTTTATTTTGTTCCTTTTTACACTGTAGGTTTCTAATATAAGAGGACCCATGACATATTTAAGCTTGTGTGTCTGATATATTTTAATTAACATTATGGTCTCAAGGTATATCCATTTTCCTACAAATGACTCAGATTGTTTTG